GGAGCGCTGCTTTACTGCGTTATATCCGAATTCGCGTTATATCGGGGTAGAGGTGTATTTCCTACCCAAATAAAGGGGTACACTTAGTGGCTAGGAAACACATAGGCCAAGGTTGAAGTTACTCTGGATAGGACCCTCTAACTGGTGGTGAGTTGCTCCTGCATTTCATCAGCCTCTGATCCGTCTGGGCAGTGGGGCTCTCATGTGGCTCTAATCCCTCTGGCTGCTAAACCAGCAGCCTTTCTCCTGCCTTATGTGTTGAATGGCAGTAGTCACTGTGGCTCTAAAAGGAACATGGCAGCAGCTTATCTTTCAGGGAATTCCCATATACCCAGCCCCCTCACAGCTTTTCCCCTGTCTTTCTTTACCCTGGGTCTAACAGGAGTCTGTGGCTTTGGAGGCCCTTATGGGGAAACAGTAGCAACAGGCGCTTACCGGGCCTTCCGGGTGGCAGCAGCAGCAGGACACTCCGGAGCCTTCTCTGGCAATGACAACAACAGGACTAGCAAGTTTCAGGGCGGTAATTATACCAAACCCCTTTTCTTAGAGCTTCTGGCAACAGCTTCTTTCACTTCACAGTCTGGTCTCAGGCTTTCCACTGGCTGCCAGTTTTCCTGTCTCCCTAACTGTCTCCAGCTATCACTCTTCTAGAACCTTCTCGGGTTGCTGTGAACTCACTCACTGACTGCTGTATTCTACCGGAATCTTTTCCCTAAGTCCCTGTGGCAAAGTGGTCTCGGTGCCAGTCTGCCTGTTACATTCTTGTTCCAATATAAAAATGCTTTAACATTTAAGTAGAAATTCTGTCTTGTGCTTCATAATGTTAGGATATGTTATAACAAGCTCAGCTTTGCTTGGATATGTTAAAGATTTTCTACAATTGGAGAGCAAAAAGGCATCTTGAAAAAGTGACACCGTAGAAGTTCTTGTATTTGTGTTACTGTTAATCCATCCTTCATTGGTGCCTCATGTCAGTTTGGATTTCTGGCCTAAGTTAATATAAGTGTTTAGATTTCTTTGTCCATTGTTTTTCTCTTCTGTAAAAGGGGACACTAGAAATCCATGAATTCCAGTTACTTACATGGGCTACAGGTTTCCCACATACCTAGCTGTATTCTCTAGCATCTATGCTTCTATTTAAAAAAACAAGCAAATATTTCTAACACTCTTGCAAAAAATAACCTTGCCAGTGTAAACAGTACACAATTAAAGCTGAAAGAATTGTATAGAGAAGTATGAACCATCTGCATTTAACCAGGGCTGTCATTTTTAAGCATATTAACCTTTTAAAAACTAACTACATCTGCATAAATGCCATTTTTAACCCTTTCATTGCTGATGGTCTTACCAGTAACATCTAGCTCTAGTGTGCTTACCTGGATTTCTGGAAATATGTTATGCCCTGATCTAGCATTAACTTTTAAGGACACTAGACAGGTATAAAAATGCAAATTTTGAATGTCAGTGATACTGATATTCTCTGTTTTTTGGATACTAAGGTTTTTGCTTATGTCATTAAAAAAGGAGGGTAAAAGTAGTGTTTACAATTAAGTCAACTCAAATGCTATTTCTATAACATAGTCCAATGTTAGTAATTTTTTACTGACCTTTCTTGTGTATCATGCTGATGAAAGTACAATAGTAAATCTAGGACAAGAGAATCTAAAAATAATTCCTTCTCAGTTACCTTCATGCTATCACCTTGTTTAAAAAAAATCCTTACATATTTTTCAAAATTTCCCTTCAGTCTCTCAGTATCTATCTAAACATTATTTCAAATTACTGAAACTCAAGTAGTCACATACGAGTATTTATTTTTTAATTCATTTATTTTAATAAAGGACTTCTAGACTCCAGTTTTAGCTATAATTTCTTTAAACAACCACATAATGAAAATTAGTTTCACAGTATCAGAAAAGGAAGCTCTTTGTGTAATGAAGATTGACAGAGCATATTTTTCCATTCACTAATAACTTTGATTTTATGATTGTAAAGAACAATTTTTGGTTTTGCGTTTATGTGCAGGAGTCCAACCTATTCCTTCTCAGGGAGGGAAACTTGAAATAGCTGGCACTGTCGTCGGCCACTGGGCTGGAAGCAGACGTGGACGTGGCGGTAGAGGGCCATTTCCTCTACAGGTGGTTTCTGTTGGAGGACCAGCAAGAGGGTAAGTGCAAAACCACAGAAACTGTTCTTAACATAATTCAGTGATTCGATACACTAGAGAATCCAGGATGGGGGAATGAAGTGACAGCAGAGGTTGCATAAAGTATTATGATTACATTTCTTTCTGACTTGCATGTGGAGTGGACTAGGTAACAGTAATGCCATTACTCAGGAGTTCAAGAGCACTTGTATGTTAATTTTAACATGTTTTTTCTCAGTAGGTCAGATAATGGTCCTGTACCAGGATATGACTCAATAGTATTTCAGTTACAAGGTTCCCAGAGATTTATGATCATTATTTGTGTTATAGTAGCATTTAGCAAACTTAATTGGGATTTCAGCTCCATTGTGCTAGGCACTGCACAAATAATTTAAACCCCAAAAGTTAACAGGAAATTAATATATTTTGTGTCTATAATTATTTGCAATCAGGTGTAGCTTCAAAGGAGCAGAGTAAAATAGGTGTATTAATATCTCTTATATAGTAACTTCTTCCTCACTCTTCCCCACCATTTACAAAATAGTATCAAACACCTAGCATATAGGCCACATCTGGCCTCAGTTGATGTGGTTGTGGCCTGCATAACATTATTAGATCATGCAAAATCTAAACTTTTATTTTTTTAAAAAAGTTTATAGCCCCTCAGGTTTTGAAGGTAGCCCCTCAAATGTGAAGTGAATGTAAATGCAGCCATGTCTTCCTGGGTCCGCGGGTAGCCAGAAACAATGAGTCTGGGAGGCATGATTTCCCCTCCCCCTGTTAATTTAGTTCAGATATAAACTATAAAGCTCAATGCTAACTCTTTAACGTCATTATTGACTATTTCATTGCTGATCATTTTATTGGCCAGAATAGGGAAGTGGGTAGAAGTGAAGCCCTTGAATAGGTAGAGAAAGAACTGGAAGTTGCTGCAGGGAGGGAAATGCAGAGGGGAAGACCAGAAGAAACACAGTGACAGGCAAAAGGGAGGCAAACAGAAAAGAGGATGGGGAAGGAAGGAAGAAAAATAAAGGGCAGAAATAATAGTACTAAAGGGAACAGATTTAGATATACATAAAGATGTATTCTGCGCTGCTTCTTTGTACAAACAATCCTATGGGCTTCAGTGGGAGTTGAGCTTTGAAATGAGGACAGTATGTAGATATAAATTTATTTCACAGTAATTGGGACTCCTTCCGACACCTCTTTCCACATGGCTTCCCAAGAACTCAGTTCAACACCAGGTATTGACACTTCAGGTATTTTTATGTGACACATAGCAAAGCGATGCTGAGTTGACCAGACTCAAGCATAGAGGGTACCACACATCCAAAGTTGCACAGAAAACTTCTTCCTTTATATACATTTACACATTACATTTACTATACACTGCATCAAGTTTTGAGATTGGCTGGGTTACTTTGTAGGAACTAATGCCTGTACACCATGCTCTGTCCACACCTTACTTACTTTTTACCTCATCTTCCATTCCAGGCTTATCTTGTCCATTGTAAATGATTCCTTGGGGGTTCCACCTTTTGTTGGCTAGTGGAGGTTTCTGTCTCTTAGTTTATTGACCCATTTACCTCTCTTAGTTATACTCCTGAGGGTATTCTGTGCCAAAAATTAAACATTTTTGTGCTAAAAAAATTAAAAATTCTGCACACAATATTTTAAAATTCTGCAAATTTTATTTGTCAAATAAATGTGGAGGCTCCAGCATGGCATTGGGGAGCACAGGCCACTGGCTGCACAGAAGTAGGAGATGTCTCCCTCCCCCGGACACGGATTCAGCGGTGAGGCTGCACCCCCAACCCTTACACAGTGCAAGGACTGGGCCTGCCCCAGAAACACCTCAGGGCCCCGTCCCGCCACTCCGTGCCAGGTGCGGGCAGTCAGGCTCAGCAAGGCAGGATCCCAGTGTGGAGGGACTTAGTGTGGGGGGATCCAGGTGTGGGTTGAGAAGGTTCTGTGTGGGACAATCTGGGTGCGGACGGCTCAATGGGGGTTCTGGATGTGGGGGGGGGTCTGGATGCACAGGGGCTTGGGGGGATCTGGATGCACAGTAATGGGACTGTGCATGGGGTTCCAAGTGAAGGTGGTTGGGGCTCAGTGGTGGGCTGGGGGAAGGGATAGAACTTGGCAGGGAGGTCTTGGGTGTGGGGGGTCCACATGCTGGGGGAGTGGGGCTCAGTGAGGGGCGGATCTGGGTGCGGGTGGCCCATTGGGGTGGTCCAGGTGCATGGGGAGTGGGGCTTATTTGGGGGGTGAGGCTTGGCGGGAGGGTCTGAGTATGAGGGGGTCTGGATGCACAGGGGTTGGGCAGATGGGGGAGCAGCTCCCTGTACAGGGATCCCTCCCCCTGCAGCTGAGGAGTGATGGATGCAGGAAAGGGGGGGGGGTGGAGTTTGCAGAGATTCCTGCAGCTGGGGGAGACATCTGGGGTTGGGTTTGACCCAGACATAAATTCTGTGCATGCGCAGTGGCGCAGAATTCCCCCAGGGGTATAGTTAGTACAGACATTCTGTTTCCAGCCTGCTGATCCATTTACCTCCCTAATCCTGTCTCATGTCAAGCCAGGCCTATAGTCCACTGCTTTTGCTTTTCTTCTTTATATTAGTATTTGTTTTATTTGCATTATATTCCTGTTTTTGTGCTTTTTTGTAAGTTTATTACTCAGCAACATATTAAGACAAGAGTAGTTGTAATTATTTAGACTATTATTAATACTAATATTAGTAATAAAAGTATGAACCAGGGAATGCAAGCTTCCCTTTTATAGTATAGCTTATCATTTTACATTATAAGATTGCTCTGCCTTTAAAACATTCTTTTGTAATTTTAACTTTGCTTTTATTTTAATTACATTATAAAAAACTGGTACAAAATATTTTTTTTTTCATTTATTACCATAGGAATTTTAGATGTGGAACAGAACATAGTCCAATTAAAATAACATTCCCTGGGTCCATACCAGAAGTGGTCCATTTCAGCTGTTACACAATACTTGTTATTACCAGCATAGGCAGTTTTTACTTTACCAAAGTCTCAGCATTTCAATCGTAGTGTGCAATTTGGAGACTGTTCCCCCAGAGTGAACCCAGATGCTGGCAACTTTGTCTGTAAGATCTTACACCTGCCTATGTAAGTGTCCCCCAGGTGCAAACAGCCCTGCACATTTGGGGCTTTTCAGAGCTTGCATTGCCTTGCAGCAGTATTTGAGGAGGAAAAATATTGTGTGGGTTGAAATGCTTTTACATTTACCTTTATGGTATTGGACCCTTGTTAATTTTTTTACCCTGCACCTTCTAGTGTTACCTTTTCTGCATTAAATATATAACTTTTTTGTGGTGATAAGAAAGCAATTTTCTTGCTCCATATCACATAAGGCCGCTTTTACTTTGTATATCATGTATTTTTTACGTTACACACATTTTTAGAACACATTGACTTAATTTCATACTTAATATTTAAACCCTTTTAGTGCCATTTCCCTTACTGTTAGGTAGTGGCCCTTACAGTAAGGGATATCTTCTTAATTTACTCCAGATGTATGGATTTTGGGTTTATTTCAGTGTTGTCGCTGAGGTTACTTTACCTGTGCCAGACAAGTGTCATCCAAGTCACGGCACCACTATATGTTGGGATTTCATCTGAGACTTCTTTCCACTTGGCTTCCCAAGAACACCATTTGACTCCAGATTTTGTCACTTAGGTATTTTTATTTGTCATGCAGGAAAGCAATACTGAGTTGATGAGACTCAAGTATACAGAGTAGGTATACAGCGTACTACACATCCAAAGTTACACAAAAACATCTTCCTTTATATACATTTATACTTTACGTTGCATTTACTATACACTGCATCACATGTTTTGGGATTGGCTTGGTTACTTTGTAGGAACCAATCCCTGTACACCATCCTCTGATCACACACTGTTCATGTACAATTTACTTTTCCCCTCATCTTACGTTCCAGGCTTATCTTGTCTATTGTAAATGGTTCCCTGTGTGTTTCCCCTTTTCTTGGCTAGTGCAGGCATTAATAGACATTAATTAAAAGGGGAATCTGACTCTATCCATAGAATGAGTTCAATATCCCGATGTAAGCTAAATATAGTACTTCTGATTACAACACTGTCTGTGGAAGAGTTCTGGTGATGTATATTGCCACAGTCAAGGGGGAGGGGGTCCAAGAACAGAATATCCGTGCATATAATTATGATATGTAGTGGCCAGGGCATTACCATTAGTTCTTTTGAAGGCACCCTCACACAGACAAGCAGATGCACAGGGGGTAAGTGATTCACTTCACTCATTTGCATTGGAGAGGAGCCCTTCTATTTTCTGGGTCCTAGAAGAAGCAAATGCACAATCACTAGCACCCAGACACCTATAATCAGGATGCTAAACTGACATCCTTAATAGGGATCTCGCTGTGTCTGGGGGAGCAGTCAGATTGCTGCAAGGATGTAATCATTTCCAGCAATACCTAGATGGAAAAGAGATGTAGAGACACTCTCTGGTGGTAGCTTGCTAGAGGGAAGATGAACTAAAGACGCTATGTTTGGGTAGGCAGTTTATTTTGGGAGACTTGTTACCACCTCCAAAAGCTGAAATTCTTTGCAATGTCAAACCTGCTCTCCTGTAGCCAAATCATAATGGAAGCTCACCTCTCTGTATCTGGAGCTACTAAAAATGGATCATTCACAGGGGGAAAAATGCCATTGACCAGAAAGTGGCAGTCCCCATAAAGGGCTGACAGGAAATACACACTTGTGTCAGAGTCCTCTCAAAACAGGTGTTTGAATGATTGAGGACTTCATCTGTGGACTTGATTTTCTACCAAAGAGCAAAAGTTACTCTGCACTGAAAACTGAAGACAGGGACACCATTGTCCATGCTTTGTCACTTAATCCAGCTCACTTTCTCATCTCTTCTCTCTTAACAGAGGGCAGATCACGTCCAGGCTTACCTTCATTGTTCTCTCTTGACTCCATGCAACTTAATTCTCAAATGGCTTCTCTACGCAATCCACTGATTTTCAGTCTTCTCCATACCGTTAAGTGTGACCAACACACTTTCTTTAACTTTGATCCATCATTATCCAATGAGATGTGAAATCTGAATTGCAAAAACCTATTTTTCAACTATCTAGAGGGCACAGTCACTTCATCCTAAATATGATTAGTAAATGGGATGGGTCTGTCTTGTTTTCTTTGTAAATTGATTGAAAAATGCATACCAGATTAAAATAAGAGTAGTCAGATGTGTAAAGTATTCATTTCCTCTTTTGGTTTCCTTCTAATTCCATTTTTTATTACTTATTATTGCATTGTGGGTGTGCATACAGAGACTGGGGTTGGCACTTGAAGTGAGCTAATCTAAATTAGACATAACACAGCAAAAACGACAACAAATTGTAGGAGTAGAATAAGTGGAAACATTGGACCGGAACTTGGCTCCTCCTTTGACTGCTTTGTCCCACTCTGGCACCACAAAGCAGCCTTAAAGCTAGCAAAATCAGCTACTTGGAGACTCTCCTGGCATAGGGGCATCCTCAGGTTGTGTAGAGCCAGCTATGCAGAAAAGGAGGCATGGATGGCGAGCTGCAGAAATCACCGGTTGCTGGAATGGCTCAGTGGGGGCTGGTGCAGCCAGCAGAGCATAGAACAGCCCTGACTGAGACTGCTCTAACCTCCTAGGGAGGTTGTGGAAGTTCCTTGGCCGGGGGTTTTCTAAAGGAGGCTGGAAAGCCATCTGTCTTAAATGGGTTAGACCCAACAAATACTGCATCTTGGCAGGGGGTTAGACAAGATGACCCTTGTGGTCCCTTCTAACCCTATAGTTCTTTGATTCTAAGTTGCTCCTATGGACCTGATCAGCCCCTGGCTGTCCTATTTCTCATTCCTGTTCTGGGCCAGGCCTCAGGCTCTGGCCCACTGGTTTTGATATACATACTTGGAGTAAAGTCAGGAGCAGCCTGTTGCTGTTAGATTCCAATACTGACAATGAAAGCTAATTTATAAGTGGAAGGAAAAAAGCTCCTGACATTGTGGGTAGAGTACATTAAGGTTTTTGTATGTAATTGCTTACTGTAAAGCATACATTTGGGGTGTACATGGGTCTTCCACCCCTGGAACCTGGGTCCAAAATTTGTAATGAAGGGCAAATTAAAATCTGTGTGGATCTCATCTAATCCTCATTTAGATAACTTGAAACCCTGCTATATGATTTGGTGTGACTGGAGCTCTGCTTAAGAGTGTCCCAAAGCTATAAATCATAATTAACAGAGTGTAGCAGAACTGTGTTGATAAGCTTGTACAGTGTCTGCCTGGACTAGGTGTGGTTCAAGCGACTCCATCCCTTTCATAAGCACTTAAATCACTGACCAACTTTAATATTGCAGCAGCTTTGCATTGTTGAATTATATTTTTATGTGAATTCTCCTGAGTTACACATTGTGGGTGGAAAGTATTATTCAGTGGAAAGAATGGTCTTATGAATATAAATAAATAGTTCAGAATGGCTGTCTTTTGCCAGGCTTTTAGTATATATGCTAGCCACTGATGGAAAATTGGTATGTATTTTAAAGGAATTTTAAGGATAACTTGATAGGAATTTCCATAGAGTTTGAAAGTACTTCTCCATTGCTTGTTTTGAAGTGAAATTGTGAAATAGCCATTTTATTGCTAGGAAAACAAGATTTTAGAAGCAGCAATCATAGACTTTACACTCTCACAAGTAATAAAATCTTAAAACACTGAATGATTAATCAGGTTGTTTCTTGGGATGGGGAGGGAGTGAAACTTTTCTATAATAATTAGTTGGCATTAGCAAAAAAACAACAACCCTTTTCTATTTAGTTTAAGGTATTTTTAAACAAAGTTTAAATGCATTTGTTGTTTGTTTTTCTTTAATACACATAGGCGTCCTAGAGGAGTTATTTCCACTCCAGTGATAAGAACATTTGGAAGAGGTGGAAGGTACTATGGGAGAGGTTATAAAAACCAGGGAGCAATTCAGGTAATAAAGTGGTGTGATTTACTTCCATAACTCTGGTTTACAGGCTAGTGTGGTCACAGGCTCCCTAGGCCAGCAGGAGTTGCTGATGACAGCTCTTGGGAGAAGGGCAGGATAGAGTGCTTCTTGTACAGTAACTCCTCACTTAAAGTCGTCCCGGTTAATGTTGTTACGTTGCTGATCATGCTCGTTTAAAGTTGTGCAATGCTCCCTTCTAACATCTGTTTGGCAGCCGCCTGCTTTGTCCACTGCTTGCAGGAAGAACAGCCCCCATTGCAGCTAGCTGGTGGGGGCTTGTAACCAGGGTGGACCGGCAGCCCCCCATCAGCTCCCCACTCCCCTAAGTTCCCTGTGCTGCAGCCGCCCAGCAGGCAGGCAGTCAGCAGTTCAGCTGTCCCTCCCACAACTGCCATGTGCTGCTCCTGCCCTCTGCTTTGGAGCTGCTCCCGGAGCCTCCTGCTTGCTGTGCAGGGGAGGGGGAAGGGGGGGGCTAATGTCAGGCTGTCCCCCTCCCCCCTGCTCTTGCACCCCACTTACCCCTTCTTCATATAGAGCAGGGAGGGGACACAGACTACCGAGAGAGCTTGGGGCAGCAGCTGGCTGTCTCAACTTCCTGATCCACTTAAAAAGACAATGCACTTAAGAGTGGGTCAGCTTACTTAAAGGGGCAGTGTGCATTTCTCTCTCTCTCCCACACACAAGGTGTGTCTCTGTCTGCTGTGCTTTCTCCCCTCCCCTCCATTCCGGCTGCCTTGTAGAGTGTGAGAGGCTACATTAACAACAATGTGTCAACCCTTGAGGGCTCAGCCCCAGTGCTAGTTCATTCCCTGGGAAATATCCCACCCTCTTCCACCTCAACCAAGCTTCACAATCATCATAGCTGTGAACAGTATTAAATTGTTTGTTTAAAACTTATACTGTGTGTATATCTATATAATATTTAGTTTTTTGTCTGGTGAAAAAAATTTCCCTGGAACCTAACCCCCCCCCTTTACATTAATTCTTATGGGGAAATTGGATTCGCTTAACATCGTTTCGCTTAAAGTCGCATTTTTCAGGAACATAACTGCAACTTTAAGTGAGGAGTTACTGTAGTTACCATGGTATATATACTGGTCACTGAAACAATAAGCTATATGTACAGTGATGACAGTTCTCCCAGTGTTGTTCCATCTCATTCAGAAGCAAGCTTTAGTTATCTGATTAGAGGAGAAAAATGCACCCTGCTATGAAGAATATGCCTAGGCCCCATGTGGACAATCCTGATCAGCTGAAGGGGAGGGATATGGGACCTTAACTGAAATCAGTGAGCAAACACTAAGGAGAAATATGAAGTTGAAACAAATTGGTATTTTACATTCCCCACGGCCAACTCCCCCAGTTTTTGTTCACTTTCATTCTGGTCCCCCAATTCCTTTTAAAAAAAAATACAACAAACCAAAAGGTAATGCTAGGATTCTACCTCTAGAGTACTCATTGTAAATACTAATAGGAAATTATGGAACAGCCTCTGTCCCGTGTGAGCACACAGTCCCATCTTTTGGTAATGGTACAAAGAGTCCATAAAGCATAGCTTCTACCTTTTCCATGGTTCTTTGAAATCATGTAACTGAAGCAAATTGGTGTTACACATATAATGCCAATTTGTTTCAGCTTCACATTTCCCCCGGTTTTGCTCAGTCTTTCATTCCAGCTGCTCAGCACTTTTGCGAGTTAAATGTGTCCCAGGGGAGATGGATTAGTGGGCAGCTAGTAGACGAGGTGGACAAAAGTACATGATAAATATATCATGTGGCTCTGCGTTGTCACATGGATAGTAGCAGATAGGAGTTGGCGGGGTGGGGTGCTAACAGCTAGAGGAGTGCTCTCTTGTGAGAGATGAGGGAACTATTAATTTCAAGTAAAACTCTTTTCAAGTTTTCTAGATATAAAAATTCAAGCTTGTTCTATTTACTTCTTTGTAGTTATTGCATCCTATTTTTCTTGTCAACGTTTGTGGAAATTAATCTAAATTTCAGTGTGTGTGTGTGTGACATCTGGTGTTAATTTCTGTATTTTTAAAGCTTTAATTCTCATTCCCAGCACCCCCAATGTAAAGTATTCTGCTGGAATTTTGTACTGAATTTACAGGCCTGGAAACAGAGGGCCTCTGTTTACCGATAGAACCAATATAGTATGTGCACAGCAGTCCAAGTTTGCTAGTGTCATAAGTCTCTTTCCCAGGGAATACCTTTGAGATTGAGAGGGTAGACCAGTCTCCATGGTATGTCAGTCTTTGGGTATCAGACAGCACTTAAAAGCAAGGAAAAGGATATCGTAAGGAAATGAATATTGTAAATCTTCCACTGCAGATATAGGGCCAGATTTTGATACCTTTCCTTATAATTAATCATGTTTATTATGGTAGTGTGTAAGGGCCAACCAAGAATGGGGTCGCATTGTGCTAAACACCACACAAATACTGTAGTAGGTGGTCCCCACTCCAAAGACTTTACAGTCTAAGTAGACAAGACAGACACAAGGTGGGGAAAGAGGTAGATCACACAAGCAGAATGAACAATGTGATGGCTGCAAATGTCATGTTAGTTCCAGTTATTTTTTTGAGGGGTAGGTATAGTTAGGAGGGGTTCAGCTAAATGAAAAGAAAAAGAAAAAAGGGGATAGGAACAGGGCAGGGGAGCAGAGGGTAAGAGGGGCAGGTGTGCAGTGAAGCTGAGATGTGAAGGCTGAGAGAGGAGGGGGAAGGTTGGAGCAAACAGCAGTCAGCACAAAGCAGAGCAAGTACCCACAATAAGTAGCATCTTACCCCTCAAAGAGTTCCAATGACTTAATTGAGACGACTTGTAATGTAAGGTGCTACTCAGCAGAAGTGGAGGAGACAAGTTGCTGGTCTATAATGAATACATTCTGAAGACGTATAAAGAAATATATATTTTGTCACAGGATAACATCCTTAACTCTGACTCGAAATAAATGCTGTGCTTTCTTAGTAGTTTCAAAATATCAACACAGCAAAAAACAACCTGAATAGGACACCTAAAAAGAATATGTGACCATTGGTGACACAATATTGATCAGCCTCAAATGCAAGGCTACATAACATACATAAGTTCACTTCATATTGATATTATACACTTTCCTAGCAAGCCACCTATGCAACACTAATATTAAGGGACAGCAATTTGAATATTTTACCAAATAAAAAAACAGCAATTCAGAAATACCTTAACTAATATTTCCCATAGTTACAGTTAAGATTGTTTTTGTGAAATTGGGGGCTGTGTAAGATTTACACCATGTCCTTAATGTATTCATTTATTTGCTTTTTTGCTTTAATCTACTTCTGTATCTGAGGACACTGTGGAGAACAGCTAGTGTGCTTTAGCAGGGTCCACATGGACATTTAGTGCCTGGCAAGCTAGTGCGGGGTAGATTTACGCTCCATTTTGCCACAAACTGGAGTGTGTTCATGTAGAAAAGCCCTACATGTTTTGTGTTTGTAACAATGTGATAAGTTGTCATTTAGCAATCTAAATTTTAAAAAACCCCGAAGTTTTATTGCCGTGTGTTTTGGAATTGTATGGTTTATTATTGCAGCTAATGAAAAGTTAAATGTAGTTTTAGTTCTCAAGCCCTATAAGTCTACATTTTCAATATTAGCTTTATGGCTTTATTTCATCTGTAGTATGTTTTCTGAGTATTTATTGTGCATTTTGTATATAAGTCACTTTCATGGGCTCTCTCTTACATATGCACAGTATATGGTATTACGTGAAACTACTCGTACCTTTGTTAAAAAATATTTTATATTGTATTTGAGAAGTAGTATGTGATCATATCATTAGACTACATTGCGTGCAAATGAGAACACAGTTAACGTCGTGTGCTAAATCTTAATTTTGGCATTTCCTGACTCTTGTTTACTTAATTATACAGTCCAAACAGTGTAATTATTTCACCTGGTGCAAAGTGCAACTTCCCACGGGCATGTCAGAAAACTGGGCTGAGCTAAAAGGTGTTCACATTAATTTTCCTTTAAGGACTGAAATTCTTTGAATTATGGTAATCATAATTATGGTAGCCAGCTCTGCCATTTTTGGCTCTTGGTCATAAAAAGCCAATTCTGAAACTGGTTAATTTAAAAAAAAAAAAAGTTGGTTTCTTTACTACATAAGCCAGGGGAAGCCCAGATATATTGTCTCTGTTATTCCCCAAAGGTGAAATTGGCATTAGATGCTTTGTTTGACCTTGTGCACACCTTCCACAGTGAGGTAAATTTTCCGTGTCTGTAGATTGAAATGTTCAGTCTTTAAATCCGTGCTAATCTGGGAATTTAGTATGGTATGCCAACTCTTGTTACAACAGTAGATTGTGTTTTGAATATTCCAAGTTAACCTGTAATAGTTCTGTCTGTGTCCTACAGCACACTATCGGAAGTGGTGTCAAGATAATCAGTTACAAATGTACAATGGTAGCTTCTTTAATAATGTATTCTCTTTTTTTAAATTAGGGCAAACCTCCTTATGCTGCTTCAGCAGAAGAAGTGGCCAAAGAACTTAAGTCAAAATCAGAGGAATCTAAATCCTCAATTGTGTCTTCAGATGGATCCCTGGCTGAAAATGGAGTAGTGAATGAGGAGAAGCCAGCTTCCCAGATGAATGGGAATACAGGAGACGTCAGGGGTTCCAACCAGTCTGAAAGTGCCTTGAGTAATGACTCTAAAATGTGCAATACAAATCCTCACTTAAATGCACTAAATGCAGACAGTGTTTGCCATAAAGATGATACTCTTGAGGCTGCTGTCTTAAAAAAAGAAGAGTAAACTTATTTTTTATAGAGGGTGAAGGATGTTGGGAAGGGTCAGGATTAGGAATATCTGGAAAGAAAGAGAGCCTACAGTTACGTACATTTTTTCCTTTCCGTAAGAGAAAAATGAGGACTTTGGAAATTCGGATCCCTCTTTGGTGTCAGAGATTTAAACAACACATTTTTAGTTTTAACCAGTTGTAGTCAAAATGCTACAATAAAACAAAAAAGAAAGAGAATGAAGAGCATTTGACTCCCGCACTTAAAATGAAGTATACATAAAGTTTAAACTGGTTATGACAAAAGCTTGTAGTTTTGTTTCTTGAAATATAAGGAAAACAAATTTTGGCAGTCTTTAAGTATATATAGCTTAAAATATAATTTTTAGTACTTGGCACCATATGTATGCCATTATATTTGATTTTGCATTACTGTGTCACAATAAAGCTTTCTTTAAGGCTTTGATTTCATGATTATGGGGGAAAAAAGGCACAACCACAGTTTTTCTTTCTTAAATTTCATCACTGTTGATGTGGTTCTTTTGTGTTAAAATGTGCAAACTATCGAAACTAAAAATTATAGAGTAATATTGCAGTTCTGCTGATTTTAAATATACATCATACATACTTTACAAGGAAGTTAAATGGAGATAAACTTGAAATCATAGAAGATACAAATGACCTTTCAAAATAAACATAATGTGTTCTGAAACTTTTTGTGACTAATACCATGCATCCGTGATCAATGAACTATGTGGTTTTGAATCAGACGTAGACCATTAGTACTACTATTTGAGCTAAACTTCTGCATGGTTCATGATTTTTAAAGTGTGTAGTTAATATTATGCATGTTATTGTCCTCTTTCTTCCATTCTTACAAGTACTGTGCCCATTTGCAAAACAAAAAGCTAATAATCAGTAATAGTCCTATAAAAGATGTTAACTATGTTTAGTCATTGACTGATCTTGCTCTAACCTTAAAATTTTGTGATTATTGACCTCTGTTGCATTTATTCTAAAACTTAAAAAAAAAAATTATCTAGCCGTTTTTTGAATATCAACGTTACCCTGGTGTACTCATTGCTGTATGCATTATTGTTCTCTGTTGCTGTTTTATGCCTTCATATTAGCAAATATGAAATTCTGTGAAAAACAAAAAAAACAAAAAAAGCTTTGATCTTCAAAAAATACCCCCTTCTGTAGCAGGAAACAAATGGCTTGTTCTTGAGAACTTTCCCATCAAGAATTTAGTATAAGCAAATATACCTGTATCATTTTGATGTTTTTGTTAGTGTTTCCAAACTTAATGTACTTCAAAATCAGAATCATTTCTTTATATTCGTTTTCATATAATTCTCCTGATGCTCTTCATCACACATTAGTGATCAGAAATGAGGTGTAATTCCCCATTCCCTGCCCGCAAGAGCTAAGTAGGTATCTTAATGTAAGTTGAAGGGAGTTCTGCCCCAACTCATGGATTGTGCAAGAATGAACTACTGTTGGGTTTGATTGGTTGTAGATGGATTGTGGTGTGGTGTATTTGAAGGCTATTGAATGCAACTTACAATGCTTAATAAAAATCTTTATTCTTTTAGTATAAAATAATGTATGCCTTTTTTATTGTCATATAGACCTTTAATTAAACATATTGTGAATAAGTTTTCCTGTGCACAAATAAGCTGGTTGTTAGTGAATGACATGATCTCCTACTAGCAGGTAGAGACAGGAAGCAAAGCATTTTGTCATCATCCTTATGTAGGGGGATGGCGCCCTTGATGAGAACAATGCTCAGTCCTAATCATTTTGTTGAACAATGCAGGTTTCATGACTTGGTTAGTAAGTTGCAAGTGTTCAACTTAACTGTTGAGGGCAGCTACAAAAATATAATTGGTCTGGGGAGTGGGGGGAGGTATATTTTCTCTGAAATATGACATAAGTTAGTCACCAAGGCCTCCAATTCAAGGCCCTGCTGGCAGAGAGAATTAAAAATGCAGTAAATAACAAATTGTGAAGCAAAATAATTATTGTTGTGGTTACTTCAGAAACTACCGTATTTTTGTATTAGCAAAAATGGATGAAACATTGAAAAGCAGAATTTCAGAAGCTAAGGTGCTAGAATCTTCCCAAGGAGAAGCTTTTATTCCCAAAAGAAATGATGCCCTGTGCCCTGTTCTGGTTCTCTGCAAATTGAACAAATAATGAAGGAAAATCAAATTCCATGTGGCTTCTCTGGCAAACATAATCTCTTCTCTCAGCTCTCAGAACTGATTTGGTTCCTTGCTCTTCAGGATGCCTCACTAGCTGTGTTTTTTGCCTTATGGAGAGGCTCACGATGAGCAGCAGCCACTGCCAATACAATGTTAGGGTGAAAGCAGTACCCTGGATATTCACCAAGTGCTTGTTAGGGCTTGCCTGCACAGGAAATGTTTCCAGTTACATGGTATAGTTATACCACTATAATTCCCTGTGCAGGTACTCATATTCCAGAATGAGAGGCTCCTCTTGGTTTAGCTTAAACCCCTGGCCAGAGCAACATAAGCTAACCCAAAAAAGGCACCCTAATTCTGGAATAAGAACATCTACATGGGGTTACACCAATATAACCATAAATTGACCCCTTAGCTTATACCACTATAACTTTCCAGCACAGACAAACCCTTAGTGGCTGCTGCTTCTCTCCAAAACAGATCTATTGTTTTATTGTCTTATATGAGCGCCTAGAGGCCCTGATAGAGCTTGATACACATTGTAGGTGACAGGCCCTGCCTTGAGGATTTCACAGTCTGAATAGACAACACTTATGCAGGTGAGATAAGGGAAGTATTCTCCCAGTTTTAGAGTTGACCATGCCCAGCTTACACACACAGAGGTGTTAAATCCTGTCTTAAAACTAAGGCTACGTCTACACTATGGACCTTGTAGCGGCACAGGTGTACTGCTGCAGCTGCAGCGCTATAAGGTCTTCCGTATAGCTGCTCTATACCGGCGGGAGAGCTCTCTCCTGCCCAGCATAATTAAACCATCCCCAATGAGTGGCGGTAGCGATGTTGACAGGAGAGTGTCTCCCGCCAACATAGCGCTGTGAGTGAAACTTACGTCAGTCCGAGGTGTTTTGGTTTTTTTCATACCCCTGACTGACAAAAATTTTGCCAGCAGAAGTGCTAGTGTAGACAAAGCCTTAGTAATGTTTTTAAAATGTGTTAATTAAAGCACTTGGCTAACAGTTTCAAAGTCAGCCATTTTCCTAGTCTAGACAGGGTATAGATAAGACAGGATTGGCAACCTTTGGCACACAGCCCACCAGAGTAAGCCCCCTGGTGGGCCAGGCCGGTTTGTTTACCTGCTGTGTCCACAGATTCGGACGATCACGGCTCCCATGCTGCTCCAGGCCAATGGGGGCTGCAGGAAGTGGCAGACAGCACATCCCTCGGCCCATGCCGCTTCCCGCAGCCCCCATTGGCCAGTGGGAGCCGCGAACGGCCAAACCTGCAGACACAGCAGGTAAACAAACCGGCCCGACCCACCAAGGGGCTTATCCTGGTGGGCCACGTTCCAAAGGTTGCCGATTCCTGATATAAGACCTGGAACTGTATCATAGCCCTATTGTGCTGCATCTGTACCACAGCAAACAACTTCCCAGCAGCTCTGCTCAGAGCTCAAGTATTCAGGCTACTGACCATTGGATTTTATTGGCAATCCTCCCTTCGCCGTTGTCCTGTCCCGTATTTCTGCTGGCAGTCTGTATACCCATTGTCCTGTCTCTCCTTATTTCTCCCTGCTGGCAGTCCATGTGCAGACTAGTTGATGTTGCAATCAGAATACTGCACCCTGGGTAAAGGTGTGGTATATTAGCCAAAAATATAGGCCACCCCTTGTCTCAGAGTGAAGGGGCTGAAGCCAGCTCCTTGCCATGTGTGTCTGTCGTTGGTGAGTAACCAGTCAAGTCCCAACAGCAGAAAAAAACCCAATGAGAATGTGTTCATGGACAGTGGTAGGACTTGGGTGGGGGGGGGGGGTGGTCAGGCTGGAGTTTTTCTTTCTTCTCCATGTGGAGTGGTGAGATTAGGAAGATCAAGACTGTCCCTGTCCAAAAGTAGGAATAGATGATATTCTTTAATGTGTGTGTGTTCTGTCTGTGTAACCCATCTTGTTTTTACGGGCAACTAAGACATCATTACCCCCCTTCAGAATGGGAGCCAAAATGAGAGAGTGTCTTCCCTGCACAACAGTGTGATTTATACACAGAGATTTATACATAGAGATAACTGTCCTGTGTTAGCGCTCCCAATGCCCAACATTGGAGACAAGGCATAGGTAGATTCTACCTTGAAAGAGCTGGTCGAGGTGAGCCCTGTAATTCCTGCCTGGGGTTGACTTCGACGGCAAAGTTGAGGAAGAAACTACAGATTATATGTTCATGTAACTAACTCAATTTTTAAAACACACCTTTGATTTTATTTTTTCCGTAAAGTCAGAGCTCTAACGACTCTTAATTTTCAAGCAACTAACACGTAAAATGAGACAAGATGGGTGAGGTAATACCTGTTATTAGAACAACTGGGGGTGAAAGAGACAAGCTTTGGAGCTACAGAGAGGTCTTCTTCAGGTCACTTTGTCTTACTCACTGACAGAGGTTGGTCCTAATATCCTGGGATCACCATAGCTACAACAATGCTACTGCTAGCATGTAAAATGTTTCTCTTGGAAGTGTTAAACTGTAGCAAGTGATGGAGCCTGCCTAGAAGAAGCAAATAAAGCAACAGGGGTCCTTAAATGATCTGCCTGGAATGAACTTTGCTGCCTTAGCTGCCCCTCTGCCTTTTTGTTCTTTATTTGTAGAATTAGTTGCTAATCATTTTAACTGTGGTGTTAACTTTCTAATAATGATCTGTCCAGGTTCCAGTTAATGTATTGTTCTATCCAATGTTTCATGAGCCAGGTGGATAATTACTGACAATAGGGCAGATTTAGGGCCTTCAGTAAACTGTGTTGTGTACTGAAGGGCTCAGGCTTAAATGGGTGAATTTGAAGGGGTCACAAATTTGTGGAGAGAGCTGATTCTGGAAGGATAATACTGATACCTACCACTTGTATATTATAGCAGTTTTCATCCATAGAGCTCATATATGAGGGTAAGCTTTATTATTTCCATTTTACAGATGGCAAAACTCAGGGACAGAGACTAAGTGACTTGATATGTCCTGTAGCGAGTGAGTGGCAGAGCTGTGAGTAGTCTCTACCCCTCCTGACCCCCAGGCTAATGCACTAGGGTATTCAGGAAAATCCTGTCTTTTCTCCCACTGCTCACAGTTGTGTTTAAATGAC